GAAATGCTCACTGCTTCCAAGTAGTGAAGTTGAGGACTAGAACCGTGCACACCATCTACCCAGGTGGGCAGCTGGTGCAAGATATGTAGGCCTTCCGGTATGTTGGGGATTTTTCCCAGATGTTTGGCGAGTGTCGGACGTGTGTGAGCGTCCGGTGTCTTGTTAGGTGTTATGGATTAATTGGGGGGGGGGGTATGAGAGTATGTGGGTAGAGTAAGGAATAGGAGGAGAAGAGTAGAATAGGGGGATAAGAGTAGATGAATATGTATGTGTGTTTGCCGTAGAGTTAATCCTGTGTGTAGAGATATATAGTTTGATCAATAGATGAGGCTAAGTAAGACTATGTAGGGGGGGAGGGGGGAGGGTGGCTACATGGCCTAGATATGTTGAGGGGAGAGGGAGGGGAGCTTCCCCTCGGCCGGAAAAGGTTGGAGACCATTGTGGTTGAGAAGCAAGGGTGGAATGTGTTTTGCGTTTTTTTGACAGTCATTATTTTCTTCGAGCGAAGAAATCGTTTAACTTTTTTCTGAGCTAATGCAGCTGTGTTTGGCGATGATCAGTGACGTGATTAGTTCCCCCATACACCGGCAGGAAGTGTTGAGGAGAGTGAGAGAGAGAGAGAGAGAGAGAGAGAGAGAGAGAGAGAGAGAGAGAGAGAGAGAGAGAGAGAGAGAGAGAGAGAGAGAGAGAGAGAGAGAGAGCAGACTCTCTTAAGATGTGAATGAGAGGAGGTAGCAGTTGGCAGAGAAAGTCTGTTTTATGTAACAATGCATGTGTGTGTATAGGATGAGGGCATTAGTTAGTTGTCAGACCTGGTCGTGTTGAGAGCCGCACCAGGGGCGGATGTGGTTCATTAACCTTAATCGTTTTTCAAAGTCTACAGAGGGGTCTGGGAGGTGTGTACTGTCCACCGTTCAGTGGCTAACTGGAAGACTATCTCCAGTAGCTGGTGGGGTCATATCTTCCCCTCCCGCCCCACTTCCCCTCAGCTCCCCTCGTCAGGTGACAAGCCGCATCTATCACCGGTAATTTCACACTCCGTGGGTCTGGAGGACTGCTTTTGAGAGAGTTTTGACATAGCACACACCTCAGCCAGAATGTTTGAGTTTTCTTGCTAGTGAAAGAGAGAATATATGCACCTTTTATAACATGAGCATCACTGTACAACATTCTTTGCTGAATATTTTAACTTTTTCTCACACAAAGCATTCGTATTGACGGTGAGCAATGACTGCTATTAGTTCCTCCTACACGGGCAGGAAGTGCCGGGGTTCCCCTATCCACTGTGGCTTCGTTAAGGAAAGGGAGATGAAACTACTGCCAGCAGGCCCCACCTGTTCCACTTACCATCCCCCAACACACTGGTGGGAGTGATGGCAATAGGGTGTACCAACACTCTCTCTCCTGACACACTGGGACATAGCATGGAGTGTGACAATGTTCTTTCTCAAAGGTGAGCCATGAGCTCAACATACAAATTACAAATGCAGACCTGGGCGGCTTCCATCTTGGGAGTTTGACACACTCCCAAGTGTGGGAGTTTTGGGGAGCCGGTCGGCCGAGCGGACAGCACGCTGCACTTGTGATCCTGTGGTCCCGGGTTCGATCCCGGGCGCCGGCGAGAAATAAAGGGCAGAGTTTCTTTCACCCTATGCCCCTGTTACCTAGCAGTAAAATAGGTACCTGGGTGTTAGTCAGCTGTCACGGGCTGCTTCCTGGGGGTGGAGGCCTGGTCGAGGACCGGGCCGCGGGGACACTAAAGCCCCCGAAATCATCTCAAGATAAGATAACCACTATGATTAACAAGGTACCTGATTATTTATACAGCTTCTCTACATTATATGCAGGGTTACATAGTGTGTCAAGAACTACCTACGTGATGCTAAACAGCCCAATCACACAGGGCGGTTAGTCATATGGCCAGTAAAGGATAGGCTTGCAGAGGCACATAAAGGGGTCAAGGACTGAACCCCGCAATTCATTTTAACTAAGCAAGTTACAATCATGACGAGCTAGTTACAAAATTCAATATAAGTCGGCACATCGACACGGGAGATGTGATCACTACCTACAATTTTTTTTTTTTTTTTTTTTTTTTGTTAATTGTGTGTGTGTGTGATTGCAACATCTGCTGTCCAAATAAATATCATTGAAATGTAAGCGTGTCTACTCAATCTCCAAAACCTCTTCATCCTACACCCATTATTGCTGTGCAGACCTTGTAACACACAATGGCATTATCATAGCAAGACAATGTCACAGAATGTTCAAGGCTCTTATACTGAATGAGTGAAACATCAGTCCATCTCGTTAGGGTCTGACCTTCCTGTCCCTCCTTAGCGCCGAGTTGTCACTCACCATCATTCTTCGTGCTCATCACCCATTAGTGTCAGTTTTAGCCCTCTGTAACACATTGTAACGTAATATGGAAATCAACTTTCTGTCTGATGTCCAAATAACATTATATCGTTACGTAACGTAACGTGGAAATCATCTTTCTGTCTGATGTCCAAATAACATTTTGAAAATTGTGAAGCTTTGTAGATTTAATTTTAAACAAAGGTGGGCCACCAGTCCATGAACTAAGAGGGGAGAGTTAGGAAGAAAGACTTTGTGAAATATGCACAGAAGAATTTGGGGAGACGTGTTCACCACCTACAAATTCTATTTTTTTTTTTGTCATCTGTGTGATCACAACATATACCTCCTGATCTCTTGTTCTGCCTCGCACTAGTCAATAAAGACAATTTTGTGTCATTTCTTGACTAAAATACTCCGAAACATCTTTGCACTTTTAATTTAAAATAGTTAGCTCTGGTTATGACTGTTTTAGCAGTCTATCTGGTAGAAAAAAACAAAGACTGGTGTTAGCATAGTGGGTGAAAAAATAGTTTATCCTTCTCTTAATACGTTTTATTCAATAACTAGTAGACATAACATAAGACACTTACATAATAACTGGTAGACATAACACACCATAATGCAATCACATGGAGATAACATATCATATCGTATCATAATGCAGTTACACGACTACTGGATTTCAGCGGAGTTTCAAATAATTTTTTTTAGCTTTAGGCTTAGATTTTCGATTTTGTTTAGGTTTTTCTATAGTCAGACGATTATCACTTCGTTTCATCATCATAATCTGTCGTTTGGGAGGGGGAGGTGCGGTTATTTTACGCTCAACCTCGTTATCACTATCACTAGTGGTATCAATATTGCCGGATCTATTAAGATCGTCCCCAACTCGAATCCTTCGCAGTGGGGTGAAGTTTTCGTCTTCGTCATCACTGCTTATTATCACCGACTGAGACATGGTGTTCCATTCATCACGACCTCTAGCCCGAGATGTGGGTTTGTGTGAACTTAGTTTAGAGTTGTGGGTTGTGAACGAGGAGGGGTGTGAGCTAGGTTTAGGGCTATGGTTCGTAGATGTGACTTGGAGTGAACTAAGTTGGGGGTTGAGGAAAAGTTTCATATCAACGTCTGTTAGCAAACGCCTTTGTTGACTATCTGTAAGCATTATACGCTCATCCAGTAAGGCTTCTACATTCAAATCATTTTCAGTCTGAGTAGGGGGGTTATCCTCTGAGAGAGAAATGGTGGCAAACACCGCGTCATCAACACTTTCACTCATAGTCAAGAGATCCGGATACTCAACCCCCTGTGAAATATCCCCACTCGTTTTTACAACTTCTTCAGTCCTAATACTGCTATTAGTAGTAGTGTCATTACCAACTCTACACACCCCGGTTAAAAAGCTTGGGGACAGCCCCTCTTCTATGGTATTCATAAAATATAACACGTTATTCCCTCCCTCATCACCGGTCTTGCCAGCGAGTACACAATGAGGGATAGTGTTATTACTACTACTACTATCACCCACGATCTCCATCAGCAGGAGCAGCAGTGAGTGTGTTGGGAGACAATCACTTGCGGTGAGTGTGTCACCAGCCGGGCTGACACCAGCTGCGCCCATGTCACTACTGGCACTAACAACGCCGTGGGAGGGAGTGCCAACACCGTGCTCGTCTGGAGTAAGGGAGGAGGTCACAAACACCTCCCCGGTGTTTGTGTGTATGTGAGTATTCCCCAAGATGAAAATATTCCCCCCGGAGGTGGATCTGATGCTGGTGGTGCTGCTGCTGCTGCGACTGCTAGCATTCTCCAGGTAATCTAAAAAAAAGTTTACACTACTAGCATAACACACACACACACACACACACACACACACACACACACACACACACACACACACACACACACACACACACACACACAAAACACAATCTTCCCATTATTATTATTATTTTGTTATTACTACATCAACATCAACAAACAACAAGAAGCATCTTAGCACGATATAACTCGACTTAAGGGAAACATCCCACGTATTATTGCCAGGGCTTGACCTAAGCTCCCATCACCAACCGAGTGAGGAGCGGCTACACCGGTAGCAGAGGCTCGTGCGGTCATGTTTGGAAGGATCGATGGATGGAGTGTTTGCCCCTACCAGGTCAGGGCGAGCTATATACGCCCTTTCAAGAGGGTGGAGGGTGCCTCCTTACCACACACCTCCATCACCCTTAGTGTTAATAATAATAATAATAATAATTAATAAGGATAATATAAATGAATCAACTTTAGATTTGTTTATTAAGAGATAATAGGAAGAAGTAGATGTACTACATCTCCTCAACATACAGGACATTTGTCACATCTTGTTACGCAATCCGAACATATTACCATATGCCTACAGGGAATGAGAACAGTGTTTATTTCTTGGGTGTAACACACCTTACAATAAAACCTACCTACACCCGGCATTGTATTCTCTTCTGCAACATCAACAACACCCTCACGGTCATCTACCTCCACTACTGCGGGAACTGGGCGGGGGGAGATAACACCTTGGGACATTAATAGTTTTAAGGGAGATTCGGTTACCTCATCTGTGAGTGGGTTCTCACCTTCATCCACGTGATCTAAAAACCACATCAGCACCTCTTCACAGTTTGCCACTCTTCACCAAGGAGTGGCAATATATCCTTTGTAATCTTGAGGTATTCTATTAGGGCGGCTCGCAGGGTCTTGTATGGGAATCTCATCGTAATAGCAAGTCCGTTGAAATAACCAAGTCCTTGCAGGAGAGTGATAATCAATGTTTCATCTACAGGTTTTGCCAGCCGAGTAGGTGAGAAAGGGAGTGCATTTTTAATGAAAGCTCGATCTTTCATCAGATTTAAGTAGATGCACTGTGGATAATATCGGGCATGGAGCGTCCAGGGGTTGTCCAAATGTTCAAAGTTAACAAGTCGTCCACCGCAATAAAAACACCTTATATGATCTTCAACTCCTAAGAAAAAAGACAAAAATATATAAATATTTTTATATAAAATACAAATAAATAAATAAATATATAAATAATAAATGAGAAAGTAAATACTAGGACGCCTCACACAGACTTGACTCATGTGAATACATTAAGACCATAACATTAATAATAATAATAATAATAATAATAATGATAATAATAATAATAATGATAATAATAATAATAATAATAATAATAATAACAATAATAATAATAATAATAATAATAATAATAATAATAATAATAACAATAAAAATAATAATAATAATAATAATAACAATAATAATAATAATAATAATAATAATAATAATAACAATAAAAATAATAATAATAATAATAATAATAATAATAATAATAATAATAATAACAATAATAATAATAATAATAATAATAATAATAATAATAATAACAATAACAATAATAATAATAATAATAATAACAATAATAATAATAATAATAATAATAATAATAATAATAATAACAATACAAATAATAATAATAATAATAATAATAATAATAATAATAATAACAATAATAACAATAATAATAATAATAATAACAATAATAATAATAATAATAATAATAATAATAATAATAATAATAATATCTTCCACTACTCACCACAAGAGATAAAGCCAGCACGAAACAATTCTGCCGGAGACTGACCACACATATCAGGCCAGATGATTCCAAATGATGCCAAACGAGTCTTAAACCCCGCCATCTCCGGGTATACGGGTAGAGAGAATGGTAGATACCCGAGTTTTCTCCGCTCCATTATACAGCACCTACAATTATTCAAAACAAATAATATAATAATAATAATAGTAATAATATATATATATATATATATATATATATATATATATATATATATATATATATATATATATATATATATATATATATATCGCTCGCCATTCCTATAAACGTAACATGAAACATAACTAAGTGTTCAAAGACACACACACACACACACACACACACACAAATCTTATTATCAAGCTATTCACAATGACTATACAACCAACGTTATTCACAGAGACTAAGAGATAACACTTAATTGTGATAGGTACTTACAACTGTTAGCTGAATTTCTCCCTCTTTCTAGTTGTAGGACAGAATAGGTGAAATTCAATCCATCGTCGTAGGCTGTGTTGCTTAGCGCAATGCTGACATTTTCAGTGCGTTTACCACTGATGAAAGGACAGTGCGGTGCCGCAGCTACATGTTGACTGCGCGGGGTGTCCTCCTCCTGTACCCCCCCCCCCCCTATTAAAGCGTAGCAGAAACTGCATATGCAGAAATCTACTGATTTGGTGAAGTAAAACCCGTCCCTTGCTAAATCACTAGGCAAAAGCCAATCAAGTCGCCATCCCACAAAAGTGTCTAGTCTCATCTGCTCACATCGCAATATATCCACGCTGCGAAATGTTTTGGTGCGAAAGACGTCCATGATGGTCGAACACTCGAAATTGTGGTAAAGGTTGGACCGCTCCCGGCCTATTTATCCTCGAGAAGAGGGGTGACGCATTTCGCTACATATTCATTGAGTGCTACATATTCTTTAAGCTAATACATATTCATCTATGTATTAGCTTAAAGGTAAACCTAACTAGTTTAAGCAGTGCTGGTAGGAAAGATGAAATAGTTAGCTTCGCGCGGATGTGAAAACAAAAATATATATCTGATCTGTTATCTTGAGGTTATCTTGAGATGATTTCGGGGCTTTTAGTGTCCCCGCGGCCCGGTCCTCGACCAGGCCTCCACCCCCAGGAAGCAGCCCGTGACAGCTGACTAACTCCCAGGTACCTATTTACTGCTAGGTAACAGGGGCATTCAGGGTGAAAGAAACTTTGCCCGTTTGTTTCTGCCTCGTGCGGGAATCGAACCCGCGCCACAGAATTACGAGTCCCGCGCGCTATCCACCAGGCTACGAGGCCCCCTGTTCTGTCCCCCTGTTCTGTCCAGTAGCGGATTAAAGTTTACACACTCTAAACACTCAGCCAGGGAGTGTAGTTTTGTCGGAGATAAATATGTTATATATATATATATATATATATATATATATATATATATATATATATACAGCACCACCTTAGACTAATTTCTATAGTGAACGAGTTGTGAAGGAATATACCAAGCTCTCCTCAACTTAGAAAAATTGTAGCGTGGTGCAAAGTCTATATAAAACCCCATTGCCCACATTATAGTATTACACCCTATCTTACTGCTAGAAAGGACTATAATCCACGTTTATTAAATAATAATATATATATTTATTATATAAATAAATAACAATAATAATATAAAATACACAGCTACAGAGTGTGGTTAATCATTAACTGGAAACTTATCCTAGGAGCAGGGGCGTGCCGCACACGCGCCAGGGGGGATAAAAGGGGGGTTGATCCAACTAATTCATTACTGCCCGCTCATCACACCTGGTTATTTGATCTATATCACTTTGGGGGAAAAAAATGAACTCCACAGCCAAAATGAATTCAGTAGAAATTCATCACGAGTACATGACAGATGAAGAGTTTAACAATCGAGAGTGCTGTATTGTCTACTCTGTAAATTGTATATCATGCTCCCCCTACGACATGTCGCAGGATATTGCTGATAAGTATCCTCACGCCACCGCTTACGTCAGAACGCAATTGTATAATCTAAAGAGATGTATCAGAGAA